TATTACATAGCAAATGGTAGCAAGAAGACACCGTTCACTGCTCTTGGATTTCCTGTCATACACAAACTACAGCAAAACATGCTGGCTTCCATATAGGTTATTGCCATTTTTAACCACACAATTCTCAGTAAGACCAGAAGTCCTTGAATGAAAAGCAATGTTACCTTCTACACATCATGTGTGCCTGAATAAAATGAAAATTCTATCAACTTTCGGTAAAATAACTGCTTCACATTTTCACAATTTTAATGGATTTTGCTCTCTAGACTCTTTCCTAGATAAGCAATTCTGTTAGACTAATAATTACATACTAGGTCTTTTAACCTATTGTTTTAAAATATATTGGTCAAATTTTCTTTCATTACTTTCAACAAAAGGCCAAAGAAAATTTTAGCAAAATATTTATGCTGATTCTTGGAAGTTTCTGTCTATACATAATTGGAAACTTCTAGACAACCTCAACCATCCAAAAACATTTGTACAGAGTCAACACAGTAAAACAAAATTCCAATAGGAAAAGTGCCAAAATTCAATAGGCAATACAATTTGAGCATTATTGCAACCCTAGGGTATAGGATATGCAGATCACTGTGATCCATACTGAAATTTTTAAAATTTATGAATAAATAAATATACCTGGTCCTTCAAAATACGAAAGACCCGGTACATTTTCACTACAGACACCATGTCATGTCTGGCAGATCCTTATCAACACATTAATATAGAACTAGAGACATTTTATAGAGGAGAATAAAAGAAAGGGGGACAGATAAACATGTTCTCATTCTCTTCTAGTCTCATAAGGAAGAAAGGCTCACATGGACTGCAGGCCACCCCACACACATCTCGCACTGTAGGAAATCCTTGTGCCAATGAGATTAAAGGCTAGTGAAGCTGTAAGAGAAACACTTTAACTTTCACTCAGATTCAACAAAACAAGAAATGATTCCTAAAAACCTTTCCTTCTTCCCAGGGAAAGCACACAGCAAAATATTCCTTCATCCCCAGTAATGGCCTAAGTAAACTATGGTTGTGCACAGCAAAGCCAGAAAGGACGACAGCTGTGTAGGCTATCAGAAGAAAAGGGGACGGGAATGTTAAAAGAGATATTGATGGGCGCTAAAGAGTGACAAAGGGGAGTAGCAGAGCAATAATTCTATCACCACCTCCGCCTTGGGAAAAACGTCTCTTTGGTGTCCCTCACAGAATGCTGCTCTCTCCCTGTTTGACACAGATACTGCCAAGTGCTGAAACACAAAATTTCTACAGGAAGATATGCACCTCCACTGAACAGCATGCAACTCTCAACTTGTCATTTATAACAGTTTGAATGAACCACTTTAAATGAGACACAGGGCTGCAAATGAACAGTGAATATAAACCTGAATATTAAGTGACTGCTTCCTTTACTAAGTTGTGTCATTCCTGTGCAGTCAATGAGGTGGCGATCCAATGGAAAAAAAAAAAAAAAAAAAAAGGTGTATCTATAATGAAATACATATGCACAAGAGGGAAAAAAAATAAAGAGCACAAAGAACATTAATTTGGCCATTTCCTATTTCCTTACTGCTTCATTTTACAGTTACAAATTAGTTGCTGTCCTCCTACTCTTTACAGACAGAAAATTAATTTTAAAAATAGGTATTTTGGAATGTGGAATAATTTTGAGGAGAAACAGGACACGACACTGAGTAACTTCAACAATGAATGAGACAGAAACTTCATATGTTATTCTATACACATCCTTCCTCATGTACATATATCGACCTTGTTTTACAAGCCTCTGTAGATTTATCAGGACTGAAATACCATACAAACTGCACATGCATCAATCCAATAGAATAATGAGAATCATCTATTCAGCAGAAGTTTCCACTCAGATGAAATGCCTTCATTCTCCAAGCCAATGAAATATTGGAGGCTAGTTAGTTTAACTGTGCAACATATCCCATTCACAAAATGAAACTGCAAAAAACCCCAACGTTTCACTGAAGCAGACTGGTAATCAAGGAGATCTTTCCTTTTAAATACCAAGCTTTCACCACCTTCAACTGAAATGCTAGAGGTCTTCATGAGAACAGCCAAAATCTCAGCTACCTGAACAGCTACATTTTCCCCAATCTGTTTCTTGTTGTAGGTTTTTATTTTTAATTGCTTATCCATATCTAATAAAGTTTTCAGGAAACAGGACTTCTTCCTTGTCTGGACTCACTAGTACCACATTTCAGCTGAAATGACAAACTGAGCAAATTTTAAGAATCTGAAATAACCCATGGAAAAACTGGAGTAGCTTTGGTGCAGCCACTGCAACTTACTCTCTCTGAAAATAAACAGCCTTTACACAGCACAAAGCTTAAAACATATACACAAAAATTTACTCTGATTCATTATTAGAAATAATGTATTCTTAAATAATGTATTCAAAGCAAAGTGATGGCTAACTGCAGTTTGTCATCAGAGAATCTAAATTCAATCTTGTGTACTAGTATGCTGCTCCTGCTATAGAAATAAATTTAGATCTAACCATCTGAAGCATTTTCCTAGTTTCCTCACTCAAAGTAGGTACATATTATTAGTAATAGGAGTTAATTTTCCAAATAAGGAATTTGAATTTATCTTTTCTAGCTTTAGAAAGAAACAATACTTACAAACAAACAAACAAACCCCACACAAACAACTGAAAAAGTGCTGTTAACTGCTTTAAGTATGTATTTTCTGACACAACATTCTGTTTCATGGCTGCGCTTTTAAAATGCCATCTGATCAGAGTAAGAATTTCCATGCATTCTGGATAAAGAGCAAGTAAACAAGTTCAGAACAGGGACTGCAAAGCAAATAGCACAAGCAAAACATAACACAGATGTTAAAAATATAAAATAATAAACGATCTCAGAAGACCCAAATTACTTCTGCTTTATTTATCAGGACACACCTCTATCAGGATAAGCCTAAGCTAATAAGAGGCACCAGTAAGAGAACAAATACAAAAAATATTTCAATAATAGTACATATTTTAAACCCTTATTCTAAAGCTCCTGAAAATCTGCGATAAGTGAAAGAACTTTATCTACAGGTATAGGTTCTCTCCTCTCTGGCTATGAAGAACTTAAGTTCACTCAGCATTTTTATTTTTAACTGGAGAGCCTTGAAGTCACAGTTTATACCTCTCTTTCTTATTCCTCTTCTGTAAAAACGACAGAAGTTAGAGATGTGGTGAATGCTTTTGGTCTTTTAAAGGTAATAGAAAAGAAAGAGAGCTAAAAATCCCCCTGCATGTGCAGCGACTTGTTTTTATACATTTTTAAACATAATGCTCCCCCACAATCTTTCCATCAAATTCTATTAGGAGCTGCTTTTGCTGAATATTTCTAGCTGTCTGTTGTACACAGCACATCATGAGCTGCATGGCCTCAGGCCAGGAAGGAAGGTGTGGAACACGTCTTCACAGGTCCATTTCCACTCTCCAAGTTTTCAAGTATTTGAGAGAAGGTCATGTTACAGCACAGATTTACATAGCAGACAAGTTACATGACTGCCCATTCTCAGCATTTCATAATTTCGATTAAAAATTAGGTCAAATGCACGGGGGGGGGGGAATAACCCTATTCTTTCACAGTAGTCAGAACATTAAAGAAAATCTTACTTTAGCTGTGGTTCTTGCCAAAACATTGGTAAAAATCTGTACTGACAGTAAACACAAGTTTGAAGTATTTGATTTACCATTCAATTACATAATTCTCCTCTTTTTTAAAGGCTCAAACCAGCCATAAACAAATCCAAAATGCGCTCTTTTAGAACACTCTTTATTATAAGTCTAAAATATATATGTTTTTACAAATATCAAGGAATGTGTTATTAATTTCAAAAGCTCTCACTCACAGCCAAATAACCTAGCAGTTAAGGAGAGGTAACTGTTCATTGTATCGTCTGTCTGAATGAAAAGAAGAATTTGGAACAGTTTTTCCCCCTCTCTCAGAGGCTGAAATAAAGTGCACTTTAAAAAGGGCAGTGTTGGCCAGCCTCAGCTCTGCCTGACATGTTTATACTAGACAGAGACTAAAATTACAACGTTCATATCTGGCATTCTTTGAGTACAAATTGGCAAAATAAATAATTTTTTTTTTAGGAAACGATAGTATGATATTTTCAGGATAACAACAAAATACTTTCCAAGAGCAGTTAAGGATGTCGTAATGTGAAACAACAGATTTAAAAGAGTTTAGGTATGTCTCCACATTTCTATATTTCTCTTAGCTTACAAGACTAGCACACAAATTCCTACCAACATCGTACAGCATACAGTTAAAAATATGCTAATCACGATCCTAGACAGCTTTTCATGATTTGTTTCAACACAGTCAAGAAGTTGTAGGGTTCAGGCTGGGGTACTGCTGATACTCTTACTGAGCAAGCAGAAAGAATGAACGTTAACAGAAAAATGACTGGCTTCAGTAACTTCAGTTGGACTTCATATTTGTCACTTTTAGAAACTGAAATAATGTTAAGTCTGATTTACTCTCAGCAGTAAAAGTTTTAAGCTGATGTATTTTTAAAAGGATTGTAGTTTCAAGGAACTCTTGAACAATTTTTTAAGTCAAAATCTAACACACACACTGAATCTATGTGCATTTGATATCTATTCACTAAGCAAAAAGAGGAAACAACTTTTTGTGGAATCTGACATTTTCTCTATTTACCAACACGAACTCTGAGGGATGAATTTTACTAAAAGCTTCAGCTTAGCATGTTGCAGCCCTGCAGCTGAAAATTCAGATGAAAACTATGGGAGGGTTTTTTTTTTTTCTATGACAAAAAAGGAACTTTTGGGAACATTTCCGAAGGACACCAGAAAGCTTGTCTAACATACAATGGTCCCTACTCAGCATAGCCCTCCAAACAAAGAGTAACAGATGCACAACTGGTATTAATAACAAAACATCTCCTCCCTGTGTTAGTCAAGAGAGGACAGCTAAGGACAAACACAGTTTCAGGGTACTTACCTACTCGGAAGTTAGTGGCTGTCAGAGTGTCAGCAGCATGGCCGTTTTCACTAATGAGAGTGGTGGTATTTCCCTTCTCACAGTTGTTCTGACAGTTGCCTTTGGTACAAGTCACTTTACAGATGCTGGGTGTAAAGACCACCTTGATACGACCAGTGTGATTTCCCACTGTCAGCGGAGGCAACGAAAAAAAGAAAAATAAACAGATTACTTTAGTATCCATTGATTTCCTTCAAAAAGTTCTGGGAAAAAAAAAGGTGGGGGGAGAAAAAGGCGACAGGTCTACAGGAGGAGGGCAGTCTGCAGTGCTCTCTCTCATAGATCTCCAGTGGTGTCTCTGAAACAGGAGTAGGAAGCTTAGCAAACAGAACTCCGGGACCTGCTCCAAAACCACATTTGAAGTCAAGTCACTGGAGTGGGATTAGTAATCACAATGCTGCACTTTATTCACAGGCAGACAAAGAGCAATACCAAGGGCATGACAGCTTAAATAGCCAACCCTGACAGGCAGATGTAATGTAAAGAGGCTGGCTGTGCACCTAGGGGTGAATAAACTCTTGTGTCCTCCTGCATACTTTTCCTGTTTCTGCACTTATTAAGTCACTATTTGTAGCTCGACCCCTGGAAATGTTTTAGGCATGCGGCATGTCTGAAAACATCTGTCTCAAATCTCCTGGCACCCCAGCCTGAAGTGGTCAAACCTTGTGACGCAGCTGCCTCGACCCATTTTTTCACAGTTTTTTGGCACTATTTTTCCACAGGGATTTACGTATTACAAACTGAGCTTTGCTGTCAGCCTTTGTTTAAGTAATAAATAGCTTAGTCAAGGAAAAGGGTGAGTAATTATCAATACTTGAAAATACTGATTCTGAGCTCAAAGCTAAAAAAATTCTCTTTTGAGAGATTATCTTATCTTTTTTTTTATATACTTCCTTACAGTAATTTAAAAAACTTAAACATGATGAAGACTGAACAAACACTGGTTTTAAGTTAAGCTAATTAGAAGAACTTGCTATAGAACTTGATTTAAAACCAGATGTATTTGATTCCACATTGAAGAGCTGAAGACAAAAAAAGATATTAAAACTAGCCATTAGGAAAATTAGGGAAAAAGAACAAACTCCATTTGCAATTACTTAAAAAGAAAACAGCTTGTCTTCTGCACACTTACTAATAAATTCAGCAAGTTCTTGTAAATATATCACTGCATCTTTGTGGAAACTATTAATACATATTTTCATATCAAACCTAACAGTCCCAAGAAATGGCACACAGGAAGAGAAGAATCTCCTCCTTCCTCATGTCATAGAAATAAAAAATTTGCTGGACAGTCATCTAACCTAGTTTATGAAATACCCTCTGGACAAACATTTTTTTGAAAATCTCAAGAAAATGAAGAGAATCTTCCCACTTCAAAAGAATATAAAGCCTTCTTATTTCTGGCTCTTCATAAACAAATACATTAAAACAATTGTGCCAACTGTTTTGTCTACAGTAAAGGCAATGCTCTGTTTGAACACCAGCTGTAGTACAGATGCTCCTACCTTCTTTTCCCTGAACAACCATTAGAAAAAATATAGCCCAGACAGATGCAGGAATAAAATATTTCAGTTAAAGGCTAGTATTGTGATTTTAGTCAATTCAGAAGACACTCTGAATTCTTGGATGCCAAGTACTTCTTACGAAAACTATTAATACACCTTTTCCAATGAACAAACTTAAGTGGCTTGTGAACTGCTGAGGCCAGAACTTCTAAGCTTTCCTTTTGTTAAGCACAGCTTCAAAAGCAATACTGCCATCTTTATAATTTATTTGCATAGTTTTATATATATCCTTTCCTAGAAAAGCCCAATTCATTTTATATTTTATATTTTCAGAAGTTTTAGTAACATTTTTCCTTTAGGATGTGATCTAATTAAAAAAACATGGTTAGTTGAGTCACAAAAGTCAGTGCTGCCTACACTGTAAAAACTAATATTGGGGGACCCACAGAAGTTTTCCAGCTTAGCTTAAAAAAAAAAAAAAAAAAAATTGGCTTTGACAGTATAGATGGAACTAAACCATACTTTAATTCTCCTTCATAGTATTCTGCACTATGTTGTTGAGTTCTGAGCTATAATAAAATTTGGGCACAATGCTTATAAGAAAAACTGTATTATAAAATAATTTTATCACATAGTTCAGATTTTATCAGAAAATTTCTGTAGCATAATTTTTTGCAGAAGGTATGTCTTAAAATAAGGCTGAATGGAAATTGTAAATTGGCTTCTCACCCCTTTTGGGTGAGAAAACGTTAGTAGCATGGAAGTTAGGGAGTAACAAGGTAGGAACAGCAGTTGAACAGTACCTTCAAAAACACAGACCAGTATCTACAGAGGTAAATAGTACCCATGAAACAATATTTAAATGAAGCTTTTCAGGGAAGTAGGTAGTCTGAAAACCATGATGTAATCCCTAGCTCCTTCAAATATTCAAATCTTTATTCAGCAATGCCTCTGCTATAAGACAAACTCAGTTCTCCTGTTTTACTAGTTGCAAAGAGCCAGAAATAAGACAACTTTATATTCTTTTGACATGGGAATATTTTCTCCATCTTCATCAGATTACTGAAAACTACAATGAAAATATTTTCTTCTCCTTGCCTAGAAGGCCACAGCTTTTAACTTCCTCAGTTCTTCTGGAGATATTTAGGAAAGACACAAAGCTAATAATGCCCTCCGAGCAGGAAATTGACCAAGGTATGAGGAGGTGATTCAAGGCAGAGACACTATCTTCATCCTTCTCTGCAGCTGTACCTAAGTAGACAGCACTATGCTCACATGTTCTAAGGTTCAGGGACCTTAACAGTGAGCATAACGCTTGCAGACTGAACCTGAATATAAAATAAATTGAAAATAATATAAACCCTTATCCTGAAAAGAAGTCTTTGGTATCAACTCTCCTAGGTTAGACTCTTGGATGTAGAATCATAGAATAATAGGTTGGAGGGACCTCAAGGATCATCTGGTCCAACCTTCCCTGGCAAAAAGTGTAGACAAGATGGCCCATCACCCTATCCAGCTGAATTTTAAAAGTATCCCATGTTGGGGAAACCACCACCTCCCTGGGGAGATTACTCCAATGGCTGATTGTTCTCATTGTGAAAAATTTTCCTTACATCCAATTGGAATCAAGCCAGGAGTAACTTGGACCCAACCTTGTCTTTTCCATGTGACTCCTTGTAGAAAGGGAGTCTCCATCTTCTTTGTAGCCACCTTTTAAATGCTGGAACACAATGATAAGGTCTCCCATCTGCCTTTTTTCATAGCTGAACACACCTAATTGTCTCAGCCTCTCCTCTTATGGCAGACTTCCCAGTCCTTTGATCATCTTTGTGGCCCTTCCCTGGGCCTGTTCATGTCTTTTTTGCATTGCAGGGACCAAAATTGAGCATAGTATTCCAGATGTGGCCTGACAAGTGGTGAGTAGAGCGGGATGATGACTTCTTTATCCCTGCTGGGGATGGCCTTGTTGATGCAACCCAGCATCCCGTTGGCTTTCTTTGCTACAGCAGCAGCACACTGTTACTCATACTGAGCTTGCTCTCCACCAGAACCCCAGGTCCCTTTCACAGAGCTGCTCCTCAGCTGGGTAGATCCCAGCCTGTGCTGTACTCCTGGATTATGTTTTCCCAGGTGCAACACCTTATGCTTGTTCTTGGATCCCTTCCTTTTCTTCTCATTATCTGTATTTTCCCACCCCCACTGTTCTCCAAAGAGGGATAATTTAATTCTGAATGAGAAACTACGTCCTTCAAGGTCTCTTAGCTGATCTGGCAGTAGCAATGTTAAAAGACAGTTTCAAGACAGAAAAGGACCATTACTATAGCCTTGATCTTTTTGAGCTAGTTCGTATTAAAGAAGGACTGCATTTTTAACGTAGCATACAGATTATTTTCCTCTTTAACCTCCAGAAGATTTACTTATGATGCCACTGTGACATAGATGTGACAAGACCTGCAAATTAGATTATCTCAAATTCATTTCTGGAAAAAAAATGATGGTGACAGAGCACTGCAACATACCTTGAATCAATTTTTTAATAACTATAGTCAGAAGTGTATCATAAACTCTTCAAAAACCATTTTAAACGTGGAAATGAAACACCTCACGCTGCTCCTAACACCAGGCCAAAGAAATATGAATGTGAGACTAGATAAATAAATAAACGTAATGAAAAACAACAAAAGCAGAAGGTATAAACACTGAACAAACAACCAAGTTACTGAAAAAATGGCAGAACTAGACAAACTCAGGTCAATGTTTTAATAAAGATAAGCCAATCAGGATAACTAATACTGGCTAAAGCTTCATCCCTACACTAGCATATTAGGTTTGCATGGCCAGGTTTTGGTAATAGGAGACCTACAGAGGCAACTTTTGTGAGAACCTGCTAGAAGCTTCCCCTATGTCCAATTTTATCAATGCCATCTGGCTCCAATATGGTCATACCCCTGGCCAAGGTCAAGCCCACCGGCAACGAAGGGTGTAGGTGTGTTTGTAACAGAGCAATTGCAGCCAGAGAGAGGAGTGAGAATATGTGAACAAAACAGCCCTACAGACACCCGGGTCAGTGGAGAAGGAAGGGGGAGGAGGTGCTCTGGGGACCAGAGCAAAGATTCTCCAGCAGTCTGTGGTGCAGATCACGGTGAGGCTGGCTGTGCCCTGCAGCCATGGAGGGTCAGGGTGGATCAGGAGATCCACCTGCACCCCAGGGAGGACTCCATACTGGAGCAGGTAGAACAGGTGGATGTGTTCTGGAAGGGGACTGTGACCCCATGGGAAGCCTGTGCTGCAGCAGGCTGCCCCTTGAAGGGAGGACCCCACACTGGAGCAGGTTTGCTGGCAGACCTTGTAGCCTTGCAGGGGACCCACACAGGAGCAGGCTGTTCCTTGAAGGACTGCACCCTGTGCAAGGGATCCACACTGGAGCAGGGGCAGAGTGTGAGGAGTCTTCCCCTCCCAAGGGGGAAGGAGCAGTGAAGACAAGTGATAAACCAACAACAACCCCCACTCCACATCTCCCTGAGCACCTTGGTGGGGAGGGGGTAGAGCAAACTGGGAGTAAAGTTGAGCCCAGGAAGAAGGGAGGGTAGGGAGGGAGAAGGTGTTTTAAAATTTAGCTTTATTTATTATTCTACTCTGATTTGATTGATAATAAATTAAACTAATTTCCCCAAGCCAA